GAAAAACAATGTTTGTGTATTTGTAGATTGCAATAATAATTTGTTCTGCTCTGGGCAGAGATCTTCTTAAGGAAAAACATCCTTGGCAATTAAAATAGTCCTAAAGACCACTTACGACGTGATCATGCGTGCACCAAGGCGAAACAGACCATTTAAATCAATTAGGACTGCTCTGATGGAAAATGAGGGCCTGGCAATGACAAAGTACTCAGACATTAGTAATCACAAATGATTTAACATCCACATTAAATGCCTGACTGGGTAGTAAGGCTTATTTTCCTAAGTCAGCAGGGTGCCCGTAACGAAGTTATCTCTGGGTATCCCAAAGTAGACTTTGGCAACGATTTCACACACAATTGGTGGAAATTAATTTGACACCTCTCTTCAACCTAACTCCTCCAGCCTGCTCGTTTCGGGCTCTCGTAAGCGGCTGTTGGCCTCCTCACCTCCTCCCTGGTTTCCTTAAAAAGATCATTAAATGCTTCGTCACGAGCCCAGCCGTGGGGCCCTCCCTGCTCCTTCTGTTTTGGGTTTCTCCTCCCCTGGAGGGGCTGGAGGCTTTCCGAATACACACAGTTTCTCAGCTTAGGCTAGCGGGTCGAGAAGGTCATTTCCAAGGGGTGAGCAAAGTCTGAGACCCCCCCGACCCCTCGACTCTTCCTGGCCTGCCCTCCGCGGTCTGCCAGGCTGAGACTGAAAACACGAGTTCCCAGAAAGGCTCCAGGCCGGCGGCGGGCGCGGGGAGGGAAGCCGCCAGCCCGCTGCGCCCGCCGCGCTTTGGCAGCGAGGCTTGCGTGATTCTAGTCAGCAGGGGGCGCTGTCTCTCCTAGTCGCCGCCTTACGAAGCCGCCCTTGGTGTGGGTTTTCTCCGCACAGCGATGGAGGTGAAGAGATGTGAGTTTCCCGGGGTTGCAGCGGCCGGGTGGTGGTGGTGGGGGGGGTGGTGGGCACTTCTGAAAATGCCAGGAATGCCAGGAAATAGTTCAATGGCTTCCCTTCTGTGTGAAAACTCCAATCTATCTTGATTTGTGCCATCCATCTGTAATGCTTTTTGTAGATCACTTTAGAAAACATAAAAATCAAACGGTACTTGAAATACACCCCAAATTTCCTCTTGGAAGTTATGAACGTTGCGCTTACAAATATAGAGGTGCTTTTCCAAAAGAAACAATAACTTCCTTGAAAGGCACCTGTGGTCATTATTTAATGCCAGCCCCACGTGTGTATTATTGATACTTATTGACCACAGAAATACAGAATTTTCTGTTGTTAAGCCTTTCAACGATATAAGAGGGAGATTCCAGTTCTATAGAATCATATGATTCAGAAAGTTTTGTTTTTATATTCTTCTAGGTATTTTATATTCTTAGTGATCATTCATAATTCTGAAGTAAAATAAATCAGAATGACAGACAACTGTGTGTTGGAGAAACAGAAAGGTTTTACTTTCAAGAGATGCCTAGTTTGGTGGGTAGCAAGTTTAAAATCAGCAGACACTCAGCCCCACACTCATAAATTGGTTGTGTTAAAAATATTTTGTTTTAAAACCACTGTGTATTTTGCTCAAGTGAAATTTCCCATAGTAATAATTCTGTGACTGGTAGGTAGGATCCTGGCTAGTTGATACTATGCCACTTTAAATCCTATTAAACCAGTAATGTATCTAAAAATTTGAATTTCTCCTTGAGATCTATCACAACCCTAAAAGGTCCTTTTACCTTTCCTACCCCCTTCTGTTGCTAGTCTCCAAAGATACTCCCCGCCACCCCATATTGGACCATGCCTTCTGGAATTCATGCCCTTGTGCAGTTGCTTCTTATATTAAATCTGACCCGGTCCCATGGGAACAAATAGCAGGTGGCAGAAGTGATGCAGTGTGATTTCGAGCCAGATCAGAAGGACCCTTGCAGCTTCTGCCTTGCCCTTTTAAAACACTCACTCTGGGTGTGTGTGTGGGGAGGGGCAGGGGGGTGGCAGCCAACAGGTAAGAAGTCCAACTACTCACACTGTGAGGAAATCCAATTTAGCCAAGCAGAGGGAGAAAGAGAGACAGAGACAGAGACAGAGACAGAGACAGAGAGAGACAGAGGGAGAAGACAGAGAGCATGCCTGGAGAGAGAGCACGCTTGGAGAGAGAGCTAGGAGAGGGAGATGCCTTATCAACCACTAGCTCTGCCAACTATTCCAAGTGAGAGGTCACCTGTGGTGAGCGAAGGAACTGTCCTGGATGCCCAGTCCAGTTAAAGTTCAGATAATTTCAGCCCCAGTTCCACCTGACTGTCACTGCATGCGAGACCCTAATCAATAACCTCCCTGCTGAGCTCAGTCAATCTGTAGAAACGCATGGGCTAACAGACCATTGCTGTTCCGGCATTATGTTTAGGTATGATTTATTACACAGCAGTAGATAACCAGAACATACATTGTCCTGTCTCCTATCTTTTTCCCTGTACTATTTTTTCTTGTGTGTTATTTCTACTACAGTTTGAATCTAGCTACTCTTTTGTGCTAGCCTGGGAATCTGAACACTAGTTAGAACATTGAGGCTAGGATTGTATGTCAAAGAGATTGGCAAGGAGAGTAGATGAAGGACGCTGCAACATAATTAGACATTTCTATTTAGGCTTAGGAAACAGCCATGAGGGAATAAATGCTGCTCTTCCTTGGAGCTTCTCAGCGGCTAGCATTGGAGGATACATCTGTCAGCAAGTTCCCAAGTTAGGTGTTCAAAGAGAAGTACCTCTATTACAATTTCCATCTCAATCATGTGTATTGTTTTAATTAAAGTTTCCTTTTCAAAATTCTCAAACAACAGATATATAATTGTATTTATAGTATGAAAGACTATTAGAATATTTTTCAAGATAAAAATAGTGTCTGAAATTGCTCACATTTTCAGAGGGAATAATGGTGCTGATGATCAGTGCTGTATTGTAGCTTCTGTTCCATTAACTTCTCCTTTCCAACTAGGCAAATAAATAAACTTTATGGTATTTGTTTTTCAGCTTTTATTGCCACCATTTATTCAAATGCAGAGTTGCCATTGTAAATCATACTTCAAGTCTGGGTAGGCGGTCACGTATTGCTTTGTTATAGTGATAAGATTTTTTTTTTTTTTTTTTTGAGACAGAATCTTGCTTTGTTGCCCAGGCTGGAATGCAGTAGTGTTATCTTGGCTCACTGCAAACTCCACCTCCCAGGTTCAAGAGATTCTCCTGCCTCAGCCTCCCAAGTAGCTGGGATTACAGGCGATCACCACCATGCCGGGCTAATTTTTTGTATTTTTAGTAGAGGCGGAGTTTCACCATGTTGGCTAGGCTGATCTTGAACCCCTGAGCTCGTGATCCACCCACTTTGGCCTCTCAAATTGTTGGGATTACAGGCATAAACCACTGCAACCAGCCAAGATTTTTTTTAAAATACAACTTGTGCTGGTCCTTTTGTAAAGCAAGGATTTTCAAGAGTTTATAGATATAAAAATATTCTCAGCTCTTACTAAAGAAAAATCATCTTCCTGTTGTTCATTGTAGCGTTACCTTTCAGATGGAAACACAGATAAAATCCCAGACATTCCCAAAGAATAGGCTTCATAATGTTCAAGTAGATAGCTGGTATGGATTTTTTTTTCCTTTTTAAGACTCAGTCTCACTTTTGTCCATCAGGCTGGAGTGGAATGGGGTGATCTTGGCTTACTGCAACCTCTGTCTCTTGGGTTCATGTGATTCCCCTGCCTCAGCCTCCTAAGTAGCTGGGATTACAGGCACTTGCCACCATGCCTGGCTATTTTTTATATTTTTAGTACAGGCAGAGTTTCACCATGTTGGCCAGGCTGGCCTTGAACTCCTGACCTCAGGTGATCCAACCACCTTGGCCTCCCAAAGTGCTGGGATTACAGGCATGAGCCGCTGTGCCTGGCTCTAGGCTCTTATTATTTAGTGGGTGACCTTGAGTATGGGACCTAACTTTTATAGCCTCAAATTTCTCATGTAAAATGGGGATTAATAGAACCTGAAATAGTGTGGTTTTGATGATTACATGAGATACTGGACCTAAAATGCACACAGCTAATGCATTATAAATGTATATACATTTATATACATACATGAAAAGCAACTCATCACTTACTCAGGAGCTTTCTGGGGGAGACCGCTGTTGTATTTTCACTTAGTGATCACTACTTTGGAAGGGTTAAATGTATACCTTTTAAAATCTCAATTGGCAGACTCCTAAGATGACTTGAATCTATCCCGCTGTACCTGAAGAATCTGGAGTATTCTTCCTCATCTAGTTCTCCAGTTTTTCTCTCCTCAAATTCATCTATCATAAGCACAACTTTATGAACACCACTTCTCTGCTCAGAAATTTTCAGCGGCAACTTGGAGATGACCTCAGGCAAGCGCAAACCTCTTAGCTTCACATTCAAAAGGCCTTCTACAGTTGGGTGTACCCGTCTAGATTTATCACATTCCCTCTGCTCTCACCGAATGAGGTCAGTTGCATGCTCTTCCCGATACATAGCTGCATTTTCTTCCCCTGACTTCCGTTCCATTGCTCACTCTGTCTGAAATGTGTATCCTCTTCTATTTTTACCTCCCCAAACTCTACCCATTCATCAAATAAGACCTCATTCAACAATCGCTTCCTCCGCAAAGCCTTCTGTTACCTCTCCTTGTGGAATCATCTTTTTCCTCTAAGTGTCTAGAACATGTTGTTTACACTTCACTTAGGCAACAATCACAACCTGCACTTCTTATTAATATGCAAGCTTTATGAAAGCAGGGATTTTTTTAAATGAGATAATTCAGTCCCTGTAGAGCAGGCGTCCCCAAACTAAGGCCCACGGGCCGCATGCGGCTCCCTGAGGCCATTTATCCGGCCCCCGCCACACTTCAGGAAGGGGCGCCTCTTTCATTGGTGGTCAGTGAGAGGAGCACAGCATGTGGCGGCCCTCCAACGGTCTGAGGGACAGTGAACTGGCCCCCTGTATAAAAAGTTTGGGCTCGCCTGCCGTAGAGACTGCCAAAAATTGCCAAAGCTGACTGTATTTCAAGTTGTCATGGCGGGGTATTGGGAAGTTTTCAATTAGCAACAGTCATGCCTCGGATAAACCTCATTGGCTGCAATACTGCCACTGCACAAAGCTAGCAGGGATCATTTTTTATCCACTGTTTGTTTGCCGCAGTAGTTAGTACAGTTAAATCAGTGCTTCCCAAACTATTTTTGAAAAAGAACCAGCTTTTTTTAAAAAAAGCAATCTGTTGCAGATGAGAATGTTTGTAAAACACAATAAAAGGCCGGGCTCAGTGGCTCACACCTGTAATCCCGGCACTTTGGGAGGCTGAGGCAGGCAGATCATGAGGTCAGGAGATCGAGACCATCCTGGCCAACATGGTGAAACCACATCTCTACCAAAATACAAAAAAAAAAAAAAAAAAAAAAAAAAGATAGCTGGGTGTAGTGGTGCACACCTGTAGTCCCAGCTACTCGGTAGGCTTAGGCAGGAGAACTGCCTGAACCTGGGAGGTGGAGGTTGCAGTGAGCCAAGATCATACCACTGCACTCCAGCCTGGGTGACAGAGCAAGTCTCTGTTTCAAAAATAAATAAATAAATAAATAAAAATGAATGATTAGAAAAATGAAATAAAAATACAGGCTAAAATACAAGCCCAAATGTCTCTTTTTCTTTTCTTTTTTTTTTTTTTTCTTTTTCTTTTTTGAGATGGAATTTTGCTCTTGTTGCCCATGCTGGAATGCAATGGCATGATGTTGGCTCACTGCAACCTCCGCCTCCCAGGTTCAAGCGATTTTTCTTTCTCAGTCTCCCCAGTAGCTAGGATTACAGGTGTGCACCACTACACCCAGCTGATTTTTGAATTTTTAGTAGAGATGGGTTTCTCCATGTTGGCCAGGCTAGTCTTGAACTCCTGACCTCAGGTGATCTGCCCGCCTCCACCTCCCAAAGTGCTGGGATTATAGGCATGAACCACTGCATTTGGGCTTCAAATCTCTCTTTATGATAGTCAGTAGACATACATTTATTCTCTCAAAGTCCTGCAAACATTTCTAAACACTTAGTTCCTGTACTCTTCTCATTTCCCACTGGTAAAAACAGCTCATGGATGAGCACAGGTTGATGGGCCACATATTGAGTAACCTGATATTACTTGGTGCTATATAAACATGTTGGTTAAATAAGTAAACCCATGGACCAGAGAAATGTTTTATAACAGTTTTTTTTTTCAATTATTGTTTGTTTCAGCATCCATTTTTTTAAAGAATATAGGACCATCAACTATTAATACACTATCATGAAATTTGCTCACATTGGTCTGCTGATTTGTGAATCTTATTTGGATTCATTTAAACAAACTGAAAAATCCAAATATGATCTTCTTTTTGCAAGTAAAAAGCCTGAGTGGGGCCGGGTAGGGTAGCTCATGCCTATAATCCCAGCACTTTGGGGGGCCAGGGTGGACAGATCACTTGAGCTCAGGAGTTCGACATTACCCTGGCCAACATGAAACCCCATCTGTACTAAAAATACAAAAGTTATCTGGGTGTGGTGGCACACACCTGTAGCCCCAGCTACTCAGGAGGCTGAGGTAGGAATATTACCTGAGCCCAGCAGGCAGAGGTTGCAGTGAGTCGAGATCACACCCTTGCATTCCAGTCTAGATGACACAGTGAGTCCTATCTCAGAAACCAAAACAAAAAATACCCCTGCAAGCTTGATGGGAAACTTGCTACATGCCAGAAGTTCAGAGAGTTTCCCTGCTGAAGAAAAAAATGAAAACTCACTACTAGGCTTATTGTTCCTCCTTAAACAATATTATCTTTAAAAGATTTCAAAATAGAAGAGATACGTATCATACAATTTACATGTTTAGTCAGAAATTACACTGAAAGTTTGTTAAATCACATCTAGGAAATTTAAGTGAACTCAAGTAAGTAAATTAACTGCTGAGTTAATTAAGTTGTTAATTAGTTAATTAACTGTTATGGTTTTAAGTGATGCCATTAACAAACTGACACAAATTTCAGTTTTACTTTCCTATATTTAGAAGGCCTTCATGGAACTGTAAAAGCTGGAGGGCCTAATTCTTTTCACAGAGTTTCGAACCAAATGCTAATATATTTATAATAAGATTTTTATTATTTAGGGTTGAAGGCATTTTAAAGCAATTTGTCTAATTGCCTTTTTTTTTTCTTTTTAAATTAGAGGGAACTCTTCATTTACTTTAAAAAATATAAAATACAATATGTAAGTGAAATAAACATGCATATATTCCTAATGAATAGCCAGGTTGATATATGTCACTACTTTTTTTGGGTATTGTTTTTAGCCGTGAAGGTTTTGGAAAGGCAGACTGCAGTTATTTGCTATGGGACAAAGCATCTTAAAACCTGATGGCTGAAATAACAGCAGTTGTTTATTTGATCTGTGGATCTGCAAGTCAGGCAGGCTGGGTGGAGACAGCTCATGTGTCCTGATACTGACTGGGTGATCCACTTCTAAGATGGTTCCCCACATGGCTTTTGGCCTGGAGCTCAGCCAGGGCTGTCTCCTGGGGTCTCGTTTCCTCTCCTCCTGGCTCTTTCTGTGGGCTGCTTGGGCTTCATCATAGCATAGCAGCAGGCTTCTAAGAGTGAGTTCTTAGGAGGTCTGGACAGAGGCTGACAGGCTTTTTAGGACCTAGCCTCCTAAATCACAGAACGTCACTACTGCAATGTTATATTGGTGAGGCAAGTCACCAAAACCTGCCGAGATTCCAGGGGAAGGAAATGACTCCACTTCCCGGTGGGAGAAGTAACAAAGATCTAAAGAAGCAATTCAGTGTGGTAAGTTGAGGAAGACTTGTAAACTCACATAGTACGTTCTGATACTGAAAAGGACAGAGGTGTTTTCTTTCTTTCTTTGTTCTGAGACGCAGTTTTGCTCTTGTTGTCGAGACTAGAGTGCAATGACGCAATCTCAGCTTACTGCACTCTCTGCCTTCCGGGTTCAAACAATTCTCCTGCCTCAGCTTCCTGAGTAGCTGGGGTCACACGCACCTGACACCATGCCCAGCTAAGTTTTTGTATTTTTAGTAGTGATGGGTTTTCACCATACTGGCCAGGCTGGTCTCGAACTCCTGACCTCAAGTGGTCTGCCCGCCTCGGGCTCCCAAAGTTCTGGGATTACAAGTGTGAGCCACTGCGCCTGACCAAGAGGGAGATTTATAATGTTTTCTTACTTAAGGCTGCCCCCCAATGAGCTGAACGTTAGCTTAATCCCACCAGCAGATAACGTAGTAGGAGACAAACTGGATTTGGACGGAAGATCTGGTTTTACACTGAGGTTCTATTGTACTATTTGAGAGGCTTTTGAGAAAGCTGTTTGACCTTTCTAAGATTCTGTTTTCTCATGTTTAAAATGATAATAACACCTAACCTATTTCTGTACATCCCAGAGTCTTTGAGTTCAAATAAATTACTGTATGGAAAAGTGTATTTTAGATAAAAAAAAAATTAATTACATATGTATGACTAGGTTATCTTACCACTGGAATATACCCATTATGCTCTCTTCCTCATAGCTGCCTGCTGTTACATTTATATTGCATCTTTGTTTGTTTGTGTACATAAATAACCCCAAATTCATAAGCTACTGTTTTCACTTAGAACTCTGACCTCAGACAATTTGCTTATACATTGGGAGGATGGAACCAGGAATTTAGGAGAGAGGGCATTTCCCCACTGCTGGAAGTTTAGACTTTGAGAGGAGGTGGATTTGGGGGAATATAGGTACGCGACCTGTGTTGAGATGGTACCTGTGAAAGACAGGTGATTGGGGGCCCCTGAATGTCTGCATCTCTCACGATTGAAATCTGAGAGCCTGAGCCGTGGTGCTAAAGGGTGTCAGAGGTTAAGTGTCATTGTTGGTAGTAGTCATGGCTGTGGTCCAGCAATTGAAGCCAAAATGATCTCGCCTGGTCCTAGGGAGGTCTTGTCATTCGTGAGCAATGCCAGGCAATAGAGCAGCTGAAAGAAGCATTAGAAATGATGGGAACAGAGGAAGGAATTTATTACATCTAGCTTAACGAATTACAGTTGGAGATGCTTGGTGAATAGAACTTTGAGGCCCAAAAAGTAAAAGTAAGGCAATCCAATGCCTCCCATGAAGGTAAAAAACGGTGGAGTGTCCAGGACAGCCACTGGGAAGGAAGGGGCCTTGGGGGCTGGGGCTTGTTCAAGTGCAACTTAGTAGAAGTAAGGAAAGTATGAACTTTCTTCCATAATCTCTCTAGGCTTTCCTTTCACCCATTAATGAGCGTCATCTCATCTGACTTCCTATGGGTGAAATCTTTGAGGGCATTTCCATTTTCTAACAAAATCAGGGCTTGTTAAGTGTTTGGTGAATTGTGTTTCCAAATGAGTCTAAGATACACTGTTGCAACTGTTGTGTTGGACACTGAAGAGAGAATTTATTGCACCCTTGTAAAAAGCACTGGCTTCCTTGAAGATTGTTAAAAAGAAAGCTAATGGTTACACATAATATAGGAGCCATAGGCCAGGCATGGTGGCTCACGCCTGTAATCCCAGCACTTTGGGAGGCTGAGGCAGGCGGATCACGAGGTCAGGAGTTTGAGACCAGCCTTAGCCAACAGGGTGAAACCCCATCTCTACCAAAAATACAAAAAAAAAAAAAAATTTAGCCAGGTGTGGTGGCAGGTGCTTGTAATTCCAGCTACTTGGAGGCTGAGGCAGGAGAATTGCTTGAACCAGGAAGGTAGAAGTTGCAGTGAGCTAAGATGGCCCCATTGCACTCCAGCCTGCCCAACAGACCAAGACTGTCTCTCTCTCTCTCTCTCTCACACACACACACACACATACACACACACACACACACACACACACACAAAGAAGAAAAGAAAAAGAAAGAAACTGGAGGCAAGCCAGCCTGAGCAGTCAGTCGGATTCATTTTGCCCCCTGCCTACTGCGTCTTGTGCTCTCGGGTGCAACCGATTGGCAAAAATTGATAATATGATCTTGACTGGTATTTCTAAAAGCTCACAACTACAGAGTTGAGTGTGCACATTATGTACTTTGTAGAAGTGGAATTCTGCTCATGGTAGCAACACCCATGTTAGCTTGAGCTGGCA